TTGATTTTTAATGGATTGGTGATTTTCCATATTTACTTGATCCTGCATGGGGTTTCTTGATATTAATGTTTAGTCTCTTATTGAGGAAAATAGATCTAGTTTGAGCGATGTCCTTGGAAAGGCACATTGGGTTATACCAGTCGAGCATCAGAATTTGGCTAGGGCTCAACCTCATGAAGATTGCACGACATCTAGTTATACAAAGACGAATATGAGCGGTAGTTTGAGAATTACTTGTGTCAACATGATGTAGTGCTTGTAGGTTCACCTTCCACCCTGTCGAGCAAATTATTATGACTATATTTTCAAGTGATGCTCTAGATAACAATAGAAATTACAACTTTGATTTGGCTATATTTAGAATGGAGCTCTGAACTATTAGCAAATTATCTTATCTGACTTTTCGGGAATGAATAAAATTGAAGTCAAATGTTATATAAGATCAGTGTAGAGCTATGATAGATGGTATGGAGGAAAGTATATTCTTAAGTTCATGATTGAAGCAATTACTGACTCCTTTGCTTTCTTGCATGATTTGACAAGATAAAATTTTTGGTTTAAGTCCAATAGCAGATGTTTTTTTGTCCATGCTTCTTTATCAGTATATATGTAGTCTGTTTGATGGTGGGAGAGTTGCTTGTGAAGCATCTAACTTTTCATTGTGTTTCTGTTGATAGGACTTCTACACTATGGTGAACCTTGCTGTTGCTATGGAGAAAGAAGGAATCAGTGCATTCCGCTTTGATTTTCCTGGAAATGGGTAAGCCTTTGGTACTAAAAGGACCATCCATACTGTTCAGGCAATGTCTATATAAAGGGATAGTTTTTTTTTTTGTTTATTATTCTGAATGCTCTATAGGCAGACTATTGTTATTGTGGTGAGCGGTATCTTCTTCTTATTCCTTCTTATTATGAAAAGAATGTGCAATTATATCTGGTAAGGAACTAATATTCAGTCTGTTACTAATCTATTGCTTGTACTTCTCTCTCGGCATTGGTTCATATTATATACTGCAACTGCCTGCAACTATAGAGGCTTTTAACCTCCAAATAAAGATTAACTGTGAGCCCTTTTGCCCTAAGGGAATAAATCATTATTCCAATGTGGCAATGGTTGGTAAAAAATTCTGAAATATCTGCATCAAATGCTTCTCTTTGTTGATTTCTTGTAGAGACAGTAAGGTACCTAGAAGTACTTACCTAACTAGAGGTCAATACAATGGGTCAAAGAGCAAGATGTTACATCATTTCTACTCCATATTTCTTGTTGATTAACTTTCTCTCTCATCATCACTGCTTTCATAGATTTGTTGTCCCAAATTTCTGTTTGCAATGACTAACATTAATTCTTTCACAATTCTTGGTTGTACATTCTCAACTGCTTTCTAGTGAAAGTGAAGGTTCATTTCAGTATGGTAACTACCGTAGAGAGGCGGATGACTTGCATTCTGTGGTTGAATATTTTAATGGAGCAAACCGCAAAGTAACAGCAGTCCTTGGACATAGTAAAGGTGTGTCAACTTTTGCCAAGAGTTGTATAGTATATCAAGAGTATTTTGCACACTATGTTGAAGAAAGAGGGTTTGCATGTGAAACTATTATGCTTTAGGGTTTTTTCTTATTGGTCTTCTCTGGATGTGATAATTTTACCTTTTGATATCAGACATGCATATTCCTTCTCCCACCTAATCATATTATGGCTCTTCTTCATAAATCCTGTTAATGCGTAACTGCAAAATCAAAGTTCAAGAAGAAAGAGAAAAGAGAAAAGCATCTCAAGGTGCTAAAATATGCTAAAGTCCTTTGTTCCTTTTAGATTATATCAGCTAGTTATCATTATAATTATACAAGAAAAAAAGAAAGAAAAAAAAAAAGATATCGGCTAGCTGCTCTTGCACCCCTTATTAATTTTGAAATTAGCTGTCCCGAGAACAGACAGAAAACTGTCTGTTAACAGTGTGTCTGTGCCAGCTTGTGCGCACCTTGACTATTCCACCAGGTACCTGCTAGTATACCTGCTAGTCTGCTACGACACACCAGCACAAGGACTGAGTAACTCTGCCCACCAAGGTTTAAGCTGATGGGTAGAACAGAACAAACGGAGAAGTAGGTTACATATATTCACTGCTAGGGCCATACGGGGGGAGAAATATCAGCTATGACAACTCCTTATGGTTGAATTCCCTGCTCCTAACCCACATTCTACAAGGAGAAGAGGACAAGCAAGAAGGATTTATATACTTAGATTTGACATAAAATTTTCTACTCCAATAAAATATACTAATTCAAAGAGTTCATCAACTCAATGCAAAGAATGGAAATTATCCCTGCATAATAATTACTGGAGGCCAATAATGATGTACTTTGTTTTGTGCCCTCGTCTTCCTCTATTAATGACATTACAAGAAATGTTGGCGTTTGTCATATTCTTGTATGTTGATTAATTATTAGAAATAAACTGTTGCAGGAGGGGATGTTGTGCTTCTATATGCTTCTAAGTATCATGATGTTCACACAATTGTCAATTTGTCTGGCCGTTACAATCTAGAGAAAGGCATTGCAGAGCGCCTGGGCGAGGACTTCCTGGAAATAATCAAGAAAGATGGCTTTATTGATGTTAAAAGTAGAGCAGGTAATGACACAAATCTTCATTCAACTTATGCATATAAATATTTTCCCTTTTGCCCGTAGAGTGGAATTTTTCGTTTTCCTCATTTTATAGTCAGTGTTAATTCAGATTACCAAGAATATGTGAAATTTGGTAGATGACAAATCTCAGTATGGGAATGCCACAACTGCCCCTGATTTCTCGACTTCTGTATCGTGCCTATATTTTAAAAAGTTTGACGTCTCAAGAGAGATAAGAGTCAAAAGGCACAATTTCTATAGTTTCCTATACCCTTTATGCAATTGTTTTCTTTACTTTTCTGACTAATATTGTATATATCTACCCCCTTCGCCATGAGCTTTGTAGATAGCTCTATTTTATTATGGGATTCTATAAGCTCCTTAAGTTTTTGTTAGGGGGTATGAGTCAGTTGTACAGGAACTACTCTCATTTTCTATATCTTGAATGCATTTACTGGATGCACGTTCAGAAAAGAGCCTTGAGTCTTTGTATTTGATCTCTCTTTGGTTCTTGAGACCAAGATGCAGATGAACCACAATAGTAGCTTAGACAGGGTAAGGCTCCAATGACAAGTAAGAACCTCTTGCTCGATATGTTATATGATTATTTAGGCTATCATAACCATTTCTTCCCCATCTACATAGTAGGGTTTTGGACAATGAAAATGCATAGGGTTTCCATTTTCTATGGAGAACTGAAAATATGCTTCTCTATTTGTAGGAGAAGTTGATTACCGTGTTACCGAGGAAAGTTTAATGGATCGACTTCACACAAACATGCATGATGCATGCCTTCAAATTGACAAAGGATGCAGGTGGGACTGATGTTGCTTCCATTATGTCAATACTTCTCTCTCTTTTTTTCATTACCATTGAGATTTTTGTATGATAGCATTCTAACCTCACTGCCATCTTGATTGTTGGCGATATATCTCTATTCTGATCTTTTCACCTTTAATGCACCATTGACTCGATGAGATCTAAGGTACTAATTGCTGAACTTCACTTGTACAGGGTATTGACAGTTCATGGGTCTGCTGATGAAATTATTCCCTTGGAAGATGCTTTGGAGTTCGATAAGATCATACCAAACCACAAGTTACATATCATCGAAGGAGCCAATCATTGTTATACCTCACATCAAGCTGAGTTAACGCCTGTAATCTTGCCATTCATAAAGGAAGGTCTGCAAAAGAACTAGGATACTAGGCAGGTACTGTGGATGCCACTATCATTGAAATTGTGGTTTTAGATTAAATGTGGGAGCTGGCTGTTACAGTATAACTTGCGCAAATGACAGAAACTATTGGCAGGGTCGTCGCTGTATTTCTCAGTGTAATTCAGAGCTTGTTTGGCATCGCATCGGGCTTTACTACATGGGGAATTCTTCTGTGCTTCATACTAGAGAGAAAATTCTGCATATTCAGTATGAGATAGACACATAACAAGATGAACAAGAGAATGAACGTTTGTTGCGTTCCCAATGCATTTGGATTTTATCTCGAGCTTGCAAAATGAAGGATTATAAAATTGCAGAAGCCCATGTTTTACTTTTTCTGTGTTGACAGGGTTTCTGAATTCAAATTGAGATCAGTAATAATACTCGTTTGTTTTTTATGACAGTATTTGATTGAACATATATGTTAAGTTGTTAATTTGAATTCACATCTTATTAGTGAAGACATTAAAGTAGTGGTTGAAAAGTTAATTTGATAGACAACATCGGACCAAAGTTCAAAATTTAAATAGTTTTATGAATTTGAATTTTTGGAAGTGAAAGTTATAAGGTAGTATCGAATATCTTGAAATGTTTCAAAACGAGAAAATGCTTGTATATTTAAACAGAAGAACAACAATAACAATATATTTATCAGGCTAAGAACGTTATTCACATAACCGGAATTAGGTATTATACAGAACAGTAAATATCTCTTATATATACAAGGCCTCCCAGCTAAAGTAAGAACTGCAAAATTTACCAATGATAACATATCATGATGATACCCTGGAAAATACGCGTTTCTGTAAATTGCTTTCTGGAAGATTTAACTAGTTGGCTGGATATAATGAGACATCGACGTGAATACCAGTCCTTGACTGCTACTCTACTCCCTCTTCAGGTACACCTTTGCTTCACCCTGAATGGCAAAAATGTTGTTTCTCAGGAGAAGTAACCCATAAAATTATAGTATATAATATGAGTTGGAAACCTTTTGGAGGTCACAGTTGATTAAAGTGTCTAAGAAAACTATCACGATGAAAAGGTTATGCAGAAACAGACGACTTAACTCGTCCGAATGTAGGCAATGATTGTTCACATAAGCATGCAAACGAAACACTTTTAAAACAAACAAATAAAAGGGACACAACTGTAACGTAAAAGTGGTTACAAGTAAAAGTCCGACAATGTATTCATTCCAGTTCTCACTTCAAACACAAAAATGAAACTAGTCAGTCCCAGTAAGTTGTCATAGAACTTACTAGACAAGTTCACATTTCACCAAAAGATTCTTTTCTTTTTTGCGTGATAAACGATTTCACAAACTAGTTCATTGAAGGATCGCCTGCACCTGTATAATGTTGATGAATCTACTGTTTACTGAAATAAAAGTTTAGCGATACCAGGGGCAAATTTGGGCCTACATTATGGTGCACGTGGTCTTTCTGCTAAACTAGGTGTTTTATGTACAGACTTCCTAGAATTGATCTAATATTATTTGCTGGCCCCATGCTCCACAAAGGTTGAAACGTGCACTTGGTTGAATATTGAGTTATTTAAGGGATCAATTCCCCCTAAATCCTTTCTTTGGTGGTAATCCCATGTTCTAGAAATTCTAGATCCGCCTCTGGCGATAATCCAGCAATTCTAGTGACAAAAGTGTGCAAAGAAACATCTTCCGCTTTAGATGTGCTGACACAATATGTCCATATCTTACCCATAGCCTCGGTTGAGCAACAGAGCAACATCATCCTCAAAAGCATTCGGCTATTACTAGTTCTAACCTTTCTCCTCGAAATTCTGCAAACGAATCAAAAATCAACAATCGTAAAAATGGACCGTTATAGTAATCCAAGTAACACATTTCAATAAATATTTCCCTTATCTGGTCTAAACTGAATAGAGCGAGATGAATTCAGACAATTCACATAGCAGACACCAGCTAGTCTGGGATTAATATGTGCATTGATGCCACTAAAGTAGACCAAGTAATTGAATAGGGAACATTCATCCCTAGGCTAATTTCATTCAGTGTGATGTCCTCAACTCTCAACTGAGTACACCGCTTGCATTAATTCCAGCAAACCGGCAGTTGACACATAACTGCAGAGCTTTTAATGCTGTTATATTGTGTTTTTTCCAGTTTCATGAAAAGAAAAAAGAGGGCTGAGGGGTGGGGAAGACTGTCAATTAGTGGTTTTGATCCTCCTTCCCAACCTCCTGCGATTGGATTAATATTCCATTTTGGTTCCAGGGTATTGATTCAAGAAATATTCCTACTCTACTTTTATAAAGAAGTTTCTAGAGTCTCCTCTTACCTCTTCCATATCATCCTCATCATCAGATGGATCTAATCTCGAGTATAAGGTCTCCTCATCAATCTCCTCAACCATGTTCATATCTTCCTGTAGAATTTTCAGCAAAAGTAAATAAAAACGAAAGCAAGAGGTGATTTGCAAGTTGAACGAAAGGGAAAATATATTTCCATAAAAAGCAGGAATTTCATACTAGATCAGACTTCAAATTCTGAAGCTTATCCTGCAATTCTGTTATATGATGCTTTAGTGCCTGCAAATTTTTTCAGTAGACATCCGTAAGGTGATTAATCTCCAGATATCTGAGACATTGAATTACATCTATCTGCGAAAGAAAATGACAATAATGAACATATTACCTCACGTCTCTGAAGTTCAATTGAACGGGCCAATGCCTGCCTCTTAGTCAAAAGATTTTTGGGCCTGAATTCACTAGGACGCTGGTAATTTTTCCCACGATAGAGTATAATTGCGTAGCCTTGGGTAGTCTTGTCTATAGATACCAAAAGGCCACCACTTTCAGCCTCAAGGGTAACTGCAATGTGTTTTATTTGTGCTGCATTTCTCCTCTCCGCAATGATCTTTACTAGCTCCCGGTATTTCCAATGTAAATGTATGTTCTCTATAGTTCCATCAAAAACATCTCGCCTCCCTGAACAGAAATGTGTTAGTTATGCGCTCTATCCTGAGAGAAACTATGGGATTCAGCAAGTAGCAACCCTTACCTAGAAGCAGAAAAGGTTTCATGCTAAGACCCATCTTACGAAACAGAAACCTTTCCTCAGCAGATAATATTTCCAAGTCAGTTGGCAGCTCAGATGGTTCCCGATTTTCCTGCAATTTCCGTAACAAATTTTCTGCCTTTTTGATCTTGCCTTTTGCCTGCAGGAACCAATCCAACAATGATTCATTTGCACATTTGCAGCAGTATTTTCACCTTTATTTACAAAAACTTACATGGGCTAGCTTCTGTTCAAGATGCTTGACAAGAGAAGCATGCCTTGCTATAGCAGCGTCTCTCATCATTTTCTCTCTCTCTTCAATACTAGGTTGGTTTCCCCAGCGTGAAGTGGCTGCTATAGTTTCAGAAAGAGTTCCAGCAATCAATGGCCTTTTAGGAGCTTTAGTATCAGAATGAATAAGGGTTGCTGCTCTTTGCCGTGCTTGTTCTTCTTGATCCTGTAAGAAAGCACTTTTGCTCTCTGCTTCTACTAGGGCTTCCGTGACACGAGGTGGCAAGAAATCATTACCCCTGTAAAAGACAATATAGTCCTTATTCCTGGAGATTAGCGTTCCTCCGGTCAATACCTGTTGAACAACAAGGATCTATTGTCAGATTCATTAAACTTTCACTAACATTTTTTCTAAAGAATAAAAGAATGCCTGTGAATCAGGAAGCGAACTCGCGAACTCAACTGCAACTTTGACGGAACGATTATGGAGTATACTCTACAGTATGGCTGTCCAACGGGACGGGACGGAACGACATTAAGCGGGATGGTGGCGGGACGGGACAAACGGGACGAAACGGTCGGATCATCCCGTCCCGCTAACAAACGGGATGGGATGGGACGGGACGGGTTCGCGGGACTTAAGTGTATTTTTTTTTTTAATAAAAAAAACGTCTAGTTTTTTGAAAATGACTAAGTTTTTAAAGTTTACAATGGCTAGTTTTTTGACTTATTTAATAAACTTAAATGTTAAAAAGGAAATTAGAAAACTAAGTAAAAAATTATAAAATATTAAAACAATAGACTTGTAATGAAATATTCTAGTAATTATAATTTCAAAGTATTAAGTAACTAAGACAATTCATAAAAAAAAATCAACGCTTAGAGCCTGTTATTTTATTAATAGAACTTTAAAATCTCACATACGAATATAATTCTTTTGAAGAGCACCTATTCTACACGGCCACCTTCTAGGAAGGTTTCTGTTTGAATTAGGCCTCTATGATCTCCGATTTGAAATATTGTTGCACTAAAAGCATTCTCCGA